ATACATCTGAGCTGGCGGGTTGGAATCCAGCCTGGGCCAGCCAAACAACAATGACAGCTGCAACCAAAAAATAGCCGGGTGTTGTGGCAGGCCCCTGTAGTCCTAGCTACTTGGGAGGTTGAGGCAGGAGAATCTCTTGAGCCCAGGAATTGGAGGTTGCTGTGAGCTGTGATGCCACAGCACTCTACCCAGGGGGACAGCTTAAGGCTCTGTCTCAAAAATAAATAAATAAATAAATGCTAGAAAACAGAAAGACGGGCTCAACTGGTTGAGAGTAGTGGTTCACATCTATAATCCTAGCACTCTGGGGGTGGATAGATTGCTTGAGCTCAGGAGTTCGAGACCAGCCTGAGCAAGAGCAAGACCCCATCTCTTGAAAAAAAAAAAAAAGAATAGCCAGGTGTTGTGGTGGACGCCTGTAGTCTCAACTACTCCGGAGGTTGAGGCCAAGAGAATTCACTTGAGCCCAAGAGTTTGAGGTTGCTGCAAGTTGTGATGCCACAGCACTCTACCAAAGGTGACAAAGTGAGATTTTAACTCAAAAAAAAAAAAAAAAAACAAGAAAGAAAGAAGTGGCTCGGCCCCCGTAGCACAGTGATTAGGGTCCTGGCCATAAATATCTAGGCAGGTGGATTTGAACCTGGCTTGGGCCTACTAAAGAACAGTGACAACTGCAATAAAAAAATAGCCGAGCATTGTGGCAGGCACCTGTAGTCCCAGCTACTTTGGAAACTGAGTCAAGAGAATCACTTAAGCCCAAGCGTTAGAAGTTGCTGTGAGCTGTGACGCCATACCACTCTGCTGATGATGACATAGTGAGAGACTCTGTCTCAAAAAAAAAGAAGGAAGGGCTCAACTACAACTTGGATGCTACCTAACAAATGCAAACAATGTAATCCAATCATATATACCCTTTTATTCATCTGGGGAAAAAAAAGATAACAGAAGGGTGAAAGCAAGCACATAATTTAAAGGTTCAGTGGCTCACGCCTGTATCCTGGCATTCTGGGAGGCTGAGGCAGGTGGATTGCTTGAGCTCAGGAATTTGTGACCAGCCTGAGCAAGAGCAAGACCCATCTCTATGGGTGGCGTCTGTGCCTCAGTGAGTAGGGCACTGGCCCCATATACAGAGGGTGGCGGGTTCAGACCCAGCCCTGGCCAAACTTCAACAAGAAAAAAAATAGCTGAGCATTGTGGTGGGTGCCTGTAGTCCCAGCTACTCTGGAGGCTGAGGTAAGAGAAAGGCCTAAGCCCAAGAGCTGGAGGTTGCTGTGAGCTGTGATTTCATGGCACTCTACCAAGGGTGACAAAGTGATACTCTGTCTCTAAAAAAAATAAAAAATAAAAAAAACCATCTCTACTGAAAATACAAAAAAACAGGGGCGGCATCTGTGGTTCAGTGTTCAGTATAGGGCACCGGCCCCATGTACTGAGGGTGGCGGGTGCCTGTAGTCCCAGCTACTCAGGAGGCTGAGGCAAGAGGATTGCCTGGGCCCAGGAGTTGGAGGTTGCTGTGAGCTGTGACACCATGGCACTCTACCGAGGGTGATAAAGTGAGACTCTGTCTCTAAAAAAAAAAAAAAATTAATAAAATTACAGAAAAACTAGTCAGGCATAGAAGTGCACACCTGTAGTCCCAGCTACTTGGAAGGCTGAGGTAAGATGATTGCTCAAGCCTAAGAGTTTGAGTTGCTGTGATCTATGATGATGCCATGGCATTCTACCCAGGGCTACAAGAGAGAGACTCTGTCTCAAAAAAAAAAAGGCTTAGTGCCTGTAGCCCAAGTGGCTAAGGCACCAGCCACATACACTGGAGCTGACAGGTTCAAATCCAGCCAGGGCGTGCCAAACAAAAATGACAACTACAACCAAAAAATAGCTGGGCATTGTGGCAGGAGCCTGTAGTCCCTGCTAATTGGGAGGCTGAGGCAAGAGGATCGCTTAAGCCCAAGAGTTTGAGGTTGTTGTAAACTACGACACCACAAAACTCTACCCAGGGTGACAGCTTGAGGCTCTGTCTCAAAAAAATAAAGAGAAATTGAAGGAGTTCAGTTGTAATTTAAGTTATTATGTAAAACATCACATGCATACTAAAAGTAATACATTAAGAGGTTTGCCAGCTTCACTTCAAATTCATCTCTATTCCTTCTTCCCCTGATTAGAAACTAGGTAGAGATAAAAAATTTATTCTCAATAAATTTTTAGCTAAGGGTCAGGTTCAGATATCTAGAGGACAGAAATGTCAGTAAAGACTTGGGTTCATTACTTTCAAAAGTTGTTTAACGTGCCATCTAGCAGTGCTTTTATAGTAGGTAAATAATTTTGCTCTATTTGAATTCTAATTCTAAAATACTATTTGAAAAATTTCCTAAATTCAAACTATATTGTGGTTTTGGTTAGTTTACAAGACTAGCATTTCAGATCTTTAACAATGTTAGTGGTACGCATGTTCTATATCAACATAGATTCAAAATATAAGGTTTTATCTTTGTTCTAACAGTAGCAAAGCTTTATTATTAGTGAATACTGGTGAAACAAAAATATTAGCTAAAGGACTGAATTATTATGAGTTACTAGGTATATTCTGCAGAATTTGTTTTGAGATCTTTGGCTGACTTTCAGTATGATTTTATCTTTTTTGATAATTTCAGTGGAGCAAGAAGTTCCCATAGAACCTCCTAGTGCAACCACTACTACCACAATTGGAATCTCTGCAACATCTGCAACATTCACAAATGTGTTTGGGAAAAAAAGAGCCAACGTGGTGACAACTCCCAGCACCAATCGGAAAAATAAGAAGAACAAAACAAAGGAAACCCCTCCAACAACACATTTAATTTTACCGGAACAACATATATCATTAGCACAGCAAAAGGCAGATAAAAATAAAATAAATGGAGAACCTAGAGGTGGTGCAAATAGTGATTCAGATAACTTGGACAGCACAGACTGCAACAGTGAGAGTAGCAGTGGTGGTAAAAGCCAAGAGTTAAATTTCACTATGGATGTGAATTCCTCTACTGATAAAAGATACCCCTCCCTTTTCCTCCATTCCCAAGAAGAAAAGATGAGTGCTGCCATTTCCAAAACTCAAACACGGTAAATTGTTCTGACTTTTTAACTTTACATTCACCTTTCCTTTTTTATGCCTGGCACAGGAATTAAAGTACATTATCCAAGCACAAGTTGTGCTAAACAATTTAAGTCTACCACATTATCTATCTTCATTATTCAAAACCGAAATTTACACGTTTTGTTGATCATGAACTAGTTAGGACTGAGATTTTTAGGTATTTTTATAGGATTTACAGTCTGAAGTAAGAAAAATTAGCATGCCTTGGTTTTACCTGTCATTTGTATTGATTATGTCTAATTTTTGGCCTCTAACTTGATTTTTTTTAAGAGAAATATTAAATATTCTTTATTTGACATTACACATAAACCACACTAAAATGCCTTTCAGTAAATGAAAGGCAGCATTTTAGTAGACCCAGGGAAATTAGATTGGCATAATAAAGATCAAAAGTACAAAGTAAACATTGCTACCTTCTCTCCAGCCCTCACCTTTAACAGACTAACGAACACCAATTAAAACATCAGTGAGTCTTGCTTGGTTCTGAGACAGTGAGGGGATTTCTCCAGTATTTAAATATATTCACATCATCAGTTATATAAATCTTAATATAAAACCAATCTTCAATAGGCTTTGGGATGGCAATTGACTACCTTTGTGAAAAGGTAAACTTCACTAATTAAATCTGAACATATCTTTAGAAATGGAAAACAGTGATAGCATTTATTGAACTGGAATCACTATCAAAATCCAAAAAAATGATCATATTCATTTAACCACAAGCCAGTCTTAGTTAAATAGGTACTGTACAACAAAAATATTCTGTCACTCATTCATGATCTGAATTCTGGTAAATGAGACCAATCAAATTATGGTACACATAAAAAAAAAGCCATGAGATATTTCTCTTTTGTAATAAATAAGGCAGTGGCCAACTATTACTCATTTGTAGCTTTTTTGAGATAAGCTATCAAGTCTGCCCTTCCTCCCTTCTTAATGCCAGTAAAGATCATTTTTGTTCCAGGGACGTACTTCTTGGGATTCTCCAAATACTCCATCAGTGTATCCTCTCCCCAGGTTATGCCTTTGTTCTTATTGGCATCTGTGTAAGAGAAGCCAGCAGCCTGACCTGTCTTCCTCCCAAAGAGACCATGGAGATTTGGCCCAGTCTTGTGCTTGCCTCCTTTTCCCACAGTATAGCACTGGGCACACTTCTGAACAAAAATCTTCTTGCCTTTCTCAATATCACCCATATTTAATTCACTCTTTGGTTGGTGACAGTACCAAAGTTCCGAGCTGGAAGCCAGACGTCCCGCTCTCCCTCTGACTTGATTTTGATACTAAAATACTAAGGACTGACTCTTTGTTCTTTTTTTGTTTTTCTGATTTGTTCAATAGTTGAAATATTATATTAATTATTATATTAATTGAAATTTTTCAGCATAGGAGTCTCTTGAGTTTATATCTTAAAATTTATCTCTCATTACACTTGATATTTCTCTTTTCTTAGACTTGAAGGTGAAATGAATCCTAATTCCTTGTCAACAAGCTACAAGTCAGTGTCATTGCCATTAAGCTCTCCAAACATAAAGCTGAATCTCACAAGCCCTAAAAGGGGCCAAAAAAGAGAAGAAGGGTGGAAAGAAGTTGTACGGAGGTAAGCAGAATTAACTTCATCTTTTTTACCTTTCATAAGTTTTCTTCTTGTTTTGTGAAATGGTTACCTAGTTAATTAATAAATAATTTGAATATTTAGTACTTTAAATCACAGTACCATACCAAATTCAGAATATGCTAAAACAAAATTAGAAGCATTGTATAAATCCTGTGTGTATATTTCATATGACACAAATAATGTTGGTTTTTTTGTATTACCTATGCATTGCTTTTTTATAAAGTTTAAATTTAAGGCTATCTTTCTTTTTTTAAGTTCTCTAATTCTAGAGCTAATATAATAATAATCAACATTACATTCATAATACATACCAGTTCATCACTGACCTGAGGCTTTATTTTTTTAGTGCTAAGTATGAGCTGTTGATACTGGTTTAAAATGAATATGCTGGCATATATTATTCTGTGTGGATTTCAACAATAGATATTCATTATTATAATTTGGAAAAACTCAACATGGGGCCATAGCAATTTAGTTGATATGTGATATTTTGGACAGACTTGAATGCTTAGATTATGTGTGATTTATTTAAATATAATTTTTGTTAGAAATGGCAATGTAGGCTCGGCGCCTGTGGCTCAAGCTGCTAAGGTGCCAGCCA